ATTATTGCTTGCGATAATCGCGTACGATTTTTCGTCACGAAGCGTGCGATAAACTCTTTCCATCTAAATGGGCCTTTACAAAGCTCTACTTCAGGCTAGTTATCCGTATTAGACTGTGATCAGACGTCTTTGATAAGACGCATTTAATTCTAACTACCCATTTTACTTCGCTCACACTTACATTCAATTTAGTTTACGATCACAAAACGAAAATATTTCCAGAGGAAAGTGGAAACGCGAAAGATGATTGATGTCTTTCATATAAAGCTTAAATTGTAAGGCGTATAAGTAATTTCTTCAGTTTTATAGTCCAGTGCAACTGCTCTAAGAAGGAATTTAATATTTTGCGTTTATGTTAGATGTCTTATTGCGGTTGCGAGTTCCTTTGACGTAGGAAAATGGGACGCCTTACCGCATCTATGGCACACCCGTTCTTATTGTTATTATAAACAAAGTATTTCCTAATATAAAATGCTGTAATTACAAACCATAAAACATGACAAACTGGCAGAATTTACTTGTACATAAGTAGTTTTGATTATGTGAATGACGGTTAAAAGGATAGACTAATTGTATTACGTAATTAATAAACTATATTTTTTTATAGCTACAAATCTAGTAGCAGTGGAAAGCTGTGGTAGCCTAATGGTTTGACCTACCGTCCCTCAAGCAGAGGCCGTGGGTTCGAATCCGGGCTTGCACCTCTGAGTTTCTCGGACTTTATGTGCGAAATATAATTTGAAATTTACCATGAGCTTTTCGGTGAAGGAAAAGATCGTGGTGAAACCTGCATGCACGTCAAAGAAGGTCTTCTTTTGGTGAAATTACAGGCACATGGGACTTGTCAACTTATGTCTCAGGGTGACGGGCCCAGTGACCCTCAGATCTTTATGATTTAAAGCTCTGAGTGGCACTGCAATTGTTACGGACAGGTGTGTAGCTTACCATCATTCGCACGACTTGTTCGTCCCGTCACTAGAAAAACGTGTGAAATCCGGAAATCCCCAAACCCATAGGCGGTCATGGCCTAAACCCTTGTCTGAGAGGAGACCCGTGCCCAGCAGTGGGACGTATAAATAGGTTGATGATGAGAGTTCCTTATGAAAGCCTTACCTATTTCTGCCGCCAAGCAGTAATGTGAGCATCACTGCGTTCTGATATTGAAAGTTAGGGGTGCTAGTGAAATTACAGGTACTTGTAAACTTATATCTCAGAGTATACTCATGGACAGCCGTGTCGCTTACCACCATAAAAAGAATTGTCTCATAAAAAGGTATCATAAAAAGAAAATAATAAAGGTTAATTTAATGTATTCATAAGCTTTAGAACTAACGAATGTAGTATACGCAATGAAGATGGAAGCAAGCCACGGTCACGGCCAAAGATGCATAGAGCATTGCCCTAGTCAATACGACCCGCACGTGTACTCTTAGTCACAGCTCATTATAGTTACATTTAATTCGTGAATAACTCCAGTAAGCTAACCGGATGCTTTTCATGCTTAGTGTTGCCATTTGAACGACTATTTCTACGAATTATTATTTGACAGATAGAGCAAAAACCCGTTTGAAGAGCAACACAGACGGAAAAACAAAACATGAATGCGCAGCTGCTTCACGACTTTTCTGAAGTTCGTTATGTACATATATAAATATATACATATATATATATATATATACACACATATAATATAATAGGTTTTTATTTATGCATTTAAAATTTTACCGTTACTACACTACGTCTCCCCTTTTGTTTTACTTCTCGCTGCCTCAAAGGTTGTCTGGAAGAGATCGCTCTTAGCGACAAGGCCTTTGCCCTCATTAATTCTATTATAGTAGTGTAATAGTACTTGTATTTACGTACTGTTTTCATTCTTGTGTGTGAGCTATAAAGTGTATATCTATCTAAGTTCCGAGATCGTTTTCGCAAACGATGGTTGGTTGAGATAATTACTGAAAATATAAAAATATTTTCCTACTTCAAAGCAACATTATACATGTAAATAATACGATTAGAAAACAACCTGATTTTATTACGAAACTTAAATAATGTTGAAAACTATCGTAGATTTATCGGAATTATTTCGGTTGCTTTGTGTTATAAGACTTCCAATTGAAATATAAAGTTTCGCTTTTGATTTCGAAGCCGATTATTAATTTTCAATGCCATTGAAAAGGAAGTATTTGGCACGTGTTACTTTAGAAACTACGCCCACACACAGCTCATATTAGAATTCTTGTTAATATTATGTATTTCATGATATACCTATTTCAATGTAAATGTGTGGTAAGCTTTTTTTTTGTCAAAAGCAACAACGTCGAACGATCGATTTAAATAACAAATCGCATAATTGGATTTCTGGTTTTTCATCCAATTGAATATATACGTCAAAAACAATCCCACATCTTATAATTAAAATTCAAAGAAGAGATCGTAAGCATCGTCTCAAATTCAGAGTGTAGAATAAGCTGTGCAGTTTGCGGCGAACAAAACGCTTATTTACAAACGACTTTGCCTTTCAGGCAATGTCAGACAACATCAAAGAGACGTTTATGTATCGCGTTTCGAAATAAAACACGCGCCATCGGCGGCGCTGCTCGGTGCAGATTGCATCGGCGCAAGCGCACATCCGGCGAGCACCCGGCCTGTGTACTTCCAGTAATATAACAGTTTGACCAAAAAGGTCAGATAAATTTTTTTTTCACTTGAAAAATAATTGATAACTTTATCAACGCCGTGTCAGGCACGGTACGCTGAAGACGATTGTTCGAATTCAGCCGGATCGAAGGAGTTTTTCTTAGTGTTCGATCTTTGTATTAATTATAAGAAACTGGCGGAGTAATTTCACAAAAAATAATTTAACCCCTTGCTAGTAAGACATCGTGACATTGAATAAACTTAATATAACATTTATGTCTAGAATATTTGCTAGTTATTCACCTAATCCAGGATCTATTTACGTCTAATACGGGAACAGGGCTGTCTACATTCGGAACCCTAAACTAGAATTGACAGAGGAACAATAAAATTAGTTAAGATACTTTTAAACTGAAAAATAAAGTCATTCTTTCAAACACTGTAGTTCGTCTTTGACTATTGCCCGATTTGCAGTATTTAACAATCGAGAGAATAATAAATCATACTTCTATAATCAAACACACAAGAAAAACCATAATGCAAACCAGTCAATAGAAGCAAAAACTGTTATAGCAAATAAATCTGATAAGGACCTAGCTAGCCGACAAGCAAAAGCGAACTTGTATGCGGTGAATAAAAAGAGCAAAAACTTGGAGTATAAAACGAAACTTGCTGAGCAAAACGACGAATGAGACACGAGTGTTCAAACCTTACAGGCCTTTGTAAGAACTCGACGGTTCCAGTGCCCAGTCGCGTTTTCAGCCATCTTGACTTTATTAAAAATCGAACAACATGGAGTTTCTAGCAAACGCTCCGAAAAAAGTCTTGCCTATGTTTTTAAAGTATGAAACATAGGAAGAAAATACTGCACAAATGCACGAAGGGAGTAACCCAACTATTTGTGTTTTTTTTATAAAAAGAAAAATATTAAAATATGGGACCTTCATAAAAAGAATTAAAAAACAAGGTATTAATTTCTTTTTCTTTCATTCATTCGCACATTTAGAATATTCGAGAAGGAATAATGAATGAATGAATGAACTAAAAGTTAAGACGTAGCAAATTCAAATCTCAATTTTGTTCTAATTTAAAGATTATGAACTCGATAAATGAAATTAAACAAAAATTTCAAATTAAAAATAACTCATCACTTGAAAAAACCTTGCAAAGAGAATTATTGTGAAGTTTAGTTCAAACGAAAATGTTTGCTTTTTCGCTGAGCTTTCAGGATTCGATTTTAGCTCAGTTTAGGTTTCCTAAATTCAGTAATTTATCTGCTTAGTAGGAAGTAAGTAAGCTGTATTTAATTAAAGTAATTTCAAATGTCAATTCCATTTTCTGAAATTTTAACATTACTCTGTAGGGCACTAATGTTAAAATTAATTCATTTTTGTTTTCAAGTGGTAACTAGTGATAAGTTATTTGTAATTTTTCGGATGTATTCCTTTAGCATTATTGCGTCTTTCACTTATTAGGCTTTGTCACACTGCACCGCGCCCCGCAACGGAGCGAGAGACGAGGAATCACGCGCGCGGTGGCGGAGACGCAGATCTGCGTCAACACGCGGTTTAATCTGCGCGGGGGCAGCGGTCTAGCTGCCCCGCGTAACTTAAAGTACTCGCTTCGCAGTTGATCGCCGTAGTGATTGTATATGTAGCTGACATCCCGCTTTGACAAGAATGGTTAATAATACAGAACTCATAGGAAATGAAACAGGTCCCATGGACACGGTTGTCAACCGTGAACATGGGACCTGTAAAGGGCCCGAAACGTCGGTTTGTTTGAAAAAACAAATATACGCGATTTAAATCCGGAAAAATAGTTTCATTTCCTATGTGTAACAATCGCGAAAACCTAAGAACTCGATAAATACAGAACTCATTCAGCTGCAGTTATACTGTCTATTTGGTTTTTGTTTAGTCAAATAAAAAGACACCGAAGATATTGAATACATCCCTTTTTACGAACCAAATCAATAAATGGATGATTTCAACTTCATTACAAAGATATAAGAAAATATGAAGATAAATTTGGTCGATTTTCAATAGCAAATATAAATTTATCGACCTCGAGACCTATTGTAGAAAACTGAACATGTCCTTAAGCTTAAAAATCTGCACGGTAGTGCGGAGCGCAGTATGCTATACCCTGCGGTTGCCGCGCCCCTCCGCGCGGGAGACAAGCTTTGTCAGTATGTTCGACGGCGCGTGTTTTCCATACAAACTGAAGTACTTCAGTACAACGTTAAAAAACGTAGCTCCGCACTCCGTCGCGGGGCGCGGTGCAGTATGATAAGCCCCTAAAAGTCCTAAAAACACTTTAATAAATATAAATAAATAATAAAAATTAATATTTTGTTACAGATATAGTGTTATTCTGACAATATCAACCAAAGCCTCTGACGGCTTCGCCTTGATAAACGGTAAGTTATGTACTCCAATTATAATAAATACAATATTTATGTGCCCATACACGCTTATGAATTATTTAACTCATATGTAGGTAGCTAGCTACAAGCACTATAAATAGGATTCGAATTTAATGCCAGCGGTTTCGGTTATTTATCCTGCTAATGTACAATATTATCAATGCCGCATTTTTGAGTGACGTAACGATCAAACCTGATGGTAAGCGACACACCTGCCCATAACAGTAGCAGTGCCACTCTGATGAGTACTGCCACTGAACCAGTAAGACAATGTCAAGCCCCCTTCAAAACCGGAACGCACTAATACTTAAATTAGGAGAAACAGGAATGGCAGCAGTACTTCCGTCGACAAACTCTTTCACAAGCTCTACTGCTACTATAATAATAATGGAAAAATAATACAAGATGAGGAAAAGCTTCACTGTAAATACTAAACTCAGTACAATATTTATACTTGTTTAAAATCACTGAAACGGTATATGCAGTATCGTACAGACTGGTCGGTTGTAATGGTTCCTAATTCGTACGGACCAAGGACGCTAAAATGTCAAGAAACCGGAGGGGTGAACGCACCCATTAATATCGACAATTTTTTTAATGGCAATACTGTTATGGCAGCACATCGGTGCAATTAATTAAAATTACTACTTACCTAAGTATAAATGAATGAATGAATGAATTACTCCTTATTGCTCATAAAATTACAGTGACATCATAGGACAGCAACATAAGTAAATCGAGAAATACTAAGTTAACGTGCAACAAGTATAATTAGCAGGATTAGCGAATAATTAGTAAGTATTAGATTAATTAAGTATGATTAACCACTACACTATGATCATTTAGAAACCAGGCTTCGAACTAGTTCGAAGTGATAGTTATAATTCATATTATTATGATAATTATCTTGACAAATATACCTTGATAATTATTTTTTTATAATACCAAGAGACGAGATTAACATTTCGTGCGCCTGGTGGTAAGCGACATCGACATCTGTCCATAACAGTTGCAGTGTCTCTCAGAGCTTCAAATCGTAAAGATCTTAGGGGCGCTACCACAGCGACCGTCACCTTGAGACCTAAGGTGACAAATCCCATGTGCCTGCACACTTTCCCTTCCAAACCGAAACGCAGTAATGCTCACATTACTGCTTGGCGGCAAAAATAGATAAGGTAGTACTTCCCTGGAGGAACTATTTGACAAGGAGCTGTACTGCTACTAAAATATTACATCTATAATATCTAAAATATATGTCTTGTTATTTATAAAATTAACTGGAACAACAAAATGCTACCGCTAGCAATATCGTGTCATGTATTTGTATGCGAGACGTATTGAAACGTATCAAATATGTCACAAAAAAGTCACAAACCAAATCGTTTTCCCGAAGATTTTCCCGTCACGTAGTTTTAAAACTATGAAACAGCCAGGCTAATTGGCAGATATATATCGGATAACTGTCATAATATTCATCTAAGAAAATAAATATCTACAGGGGGCCTACTATGAGCTCTTACGATCCTATTTACGCCTGTAAGTTGGATTGCCTGTCAAATTCGTACTATAACCTCACAAAAACAATTCACTGTCCATGCAGTTTACATCACCATTCGAAATCCGTTCACCTTTTCTTTCATAGCAAAATCGTATCATGACGTGCCATTTGCCATGCAAATGGCGGTCTCATCTATAAAAATAAGCAATTCAAATATGGTTACTCCGTGACTAACTTTTTTTGTATTTTGTTACATTTTTAAGAATTTTCAATTAATAATTTTTTTTAAGAAAATTTCGTGTTAGTTTTATATTATTTTCAGTTTCATAATTATTTGTTATGTTTATAGGCTATATAGCCAATTTTCAATAAATAAATACTATTAACTATTGAGCGTTTTTTGAAAATTTTTGTTCCCAATCTTTAAAGTATTGTTGATAAATTATTGGCATGAATGTTATTGCAATTTTTAAATAGAATTTTCATCAATTTTAATAATTTTATTGACTGAAAATCGTAAAATAACTTCTAAATAGAGCCAAATTTAATTTAATGCAAATCAATGAAAATGTACGAATACAAGATACATTCCAATTATGTTATCAAATTACAAACTCACCTTATTCATTTCAATGATAACGACTAGACATGACATGTAATTTTGTCGTATGACAAATTGTAAAGTATGATTGAAAAGTTGTCGATATTACAAAACAAGGTAGTAAGTATAATCAATAATAAAATTAATAAAAAAAATATATAATTATTCTCATTTTGAACACAAACGGTTAATAGTGCCTGAACGCTCCCAGGATAGTACATCTATCTATTTCTTTCATATGATTTAGTATGTAGTTCCATCTCGCTCTTGTTAGATGTCAGCTACCAAGCCAGAGACAATAGTTAACGTTTAAAAAGTAAAACTCATCATCCGGTCATGCCATTCCCGTTCAACTTTGTATAGGTCATGATACGAATTTAAGCGATTAAGTTTTACCACGTCAAGTGAATTGCATGGAACTTTGCTGGCTGCTTATAAGCTCATAGTAAGCCCCCAGGCGTAGCATTAACGTAAATAAACAAAACTCGCAAGCGTAATAGGTAAACTTTTTTGTTGTCTACCGATTATTAAGCTACAAAAGCCTTTGGTCATGTTCGCGCACAGGTGCGACTACAGAGACTGGTACGAGTGACATCAATTTAGGGAGTAAAATGACAGCTTGAAGAGGACATATCTTTTATCTTTGCGCTCAACTAAGCTTGCTGTCATGTATCATGTCCTGTAAGAATAAAAAGCATAAGCCTACGGATCATGGACGCTCGTAAATTGCACCCTTACAATGCCACATCTACCAAAAAACAACTTTCAGGCTTAAAGAGTTTAAAGATTGAATTAATTGATAACTTTTTGTGCTTAAATAGTAAACATAATTTGTCGTATTATTTTTATGATTTTCATGTGATAAAAACACTGTTGACGAATAAATAATTAAATTAAATAAATAAATATTAGACAGCATCACATACGTTGCTCTGGTCCCAAAGTAAGTAAATAAAGCACATCTTACATATGTTATGCAACTCGGAAACAACAACGACGGTACCACAAAAACCCGAGACAATACTGAAAAGTTATTTATCTACAATGACCCAGCCGGGGATCGAACCCAGGACCTCAGAGATGGTGACACCATGAAAACCGGTGTGCATGTCACTCGACCACAGTAGTCGTAAAAATCGTATCACATGTGGCTTTATAAAACCAAGGGTACGAAATATTGCAGCCATTAAGCAATAATGATATTTATTACATATGGAATAAATCTCTATTTCTTCAGCAATAATAATATTATGTTGGGCTGGATACTTAGTAACTAGGAACTACTTAGATTGTACAAGAGCCAGGTATATGTGGAGACCTGTTATTCAAGGTGACATTCGCATATGAAAAACATACACATATGACGAACAATTCTTACCATTATATTAGAATGACTTGTAATCGCGAAGGCAATATGATTAAATGAATGACAATGATGATAACACAATAAATTTTTATGAAGATAAAATTACAGAATCGTTTCATCCGGTACCCTCTAGCTCCGATTACAGGCCTGCGCAAGGGCACCTAATGTCAACAGTTGGTTCACCCCTAACCAGCCAATCAAACCACGGCTCCATGCGGGTAATTAGACAGCCAATTTATCTTTACCGATCGTAAACGATGATTTACGTAATAGGAGAACGAACTACCAGTCTGCACCATATTTCGTAACTTCGAGGCGTAATAAAAATGAGCGAAATTAAAATAAATAATAAATCTGAAATTTCCTTAGAGCCTCTATCTAATACTGTAATTTTTATTTTTACTTTACCAGACCAATCTATAATAATTACTTATTTGCATGTAAGTAAATAAAAGTTTGTAATTGAAATTGAACACATTTGTATTCAGTATAGTTTTCATACTGCGGGACGGGATTAATTGAGTGTTAACAAAAATTACTTTTCATGACAAAAACTATTACACCTGCAAAACGCAAATCACATTTTACGGTAATTCTATCACTTAATTTCTCAACTTCGAGTGCAATTATAAAAAAGGTAAACATCACACGATGGTATTTTATGGAATTTAAAAAAAAATGGCTGGATTTTGACAACGACATTTTTCACTCAAGCGTGCACCGTGAACGGAGGAAAGCGGGTGGGGAGTGGCGCGTCAAGGTCACTCGTGACGTCACCCCACGAGCAATGACCTCCCAAAAACGAAGTGAGAAGTGTTGTCCGAAGAGCGATTTTATCGATTTTACGATAGCTCTTGACGACCTGTGTTGATTCTGACAGATGAAATTCTTTTTCAGAAGTTGATTGTGTACACAATTGAGATTATCAATGTTGTGTAAGAAAATCGTGAGGATGTGACGCGTAGAAAAAGCTCGATAGAAAAATATCGTTCGATATCGTATCGCAAAAGGTGTTCCTATACTTTTAGTCACAAAATATGTAAGTATTCTTCGATAAATAACGGCAAAATTTCAAATGAGTTTTGAAAAACCCATGGAATCTTGTGAAAATGGTAGAAGATTCTAATGTGTTTTGTTTCTGTTGTGGTCTCTAATAAGTTTATTTAGATAAAATCCTACATTCGATTAAGGAACAAACACAGTAACAGGAAAATTCTTAGTCAATAACCAAACTTTCTTCAATCAGAGTTTGTTTCGTTTGGTTTTCGTATCAGCACGTCCTGACAAAGTTGGGTAACTTTTAATTCAGTTTTCAAGGACTTTTCTTTATATTATACAAACAGGCAATGACTTCCGTAAGTAGATTTGCATTCCATAGCCTTGAGTTCGGGAATAAATTATATACATATATAAGAATTCCAAAACGGTGGAAGATAATTTATACAGCTGCATTTTTTCTACAAAAGTGTAATTTTTTGGAAACAACGATTCTACTTATTGAAGCTAATTACATCCACAATGCCGTCTTA